CAAACCATGAAACCCTCATTTCATTTTAGTCTCTTTTTCTATCATTTTATATAGTCATAATTTGCATATAAGGCTTTCGATTTGTTTGCTAGTTTGTATCCAACCAACCATAAAAACCCTTATTTCATATATAGTTATAATTTGCATATAAGTGCGTTATTAAGATGTTGAAATTTAAGAAAATATCTGACAAAAGAAACCTCTAATTACGAATATTTATTGTATTTACTGTTGCAAGCTACATATTTTTTTCATTGTTTAATAATTAATAGTCATAAATTACACTTGAATAAGTTTTAAAGGATAATGTTGCAATGATGATGAAATCATTCAATGAGTTAATGTAAAGGGATTTTGATATGATATATTTAGGGAAGATGAAATTCTTCTTGGGAATAGAAGTGATGCAAACGACAGATGAGATTCATATCTCAATCTAAGTATATGTTGGAAGTACTAAGACGTTTTGAGATGGAGCATTGCAATGATGTTTGCAATCCTATTGTGCCAAGAAGTAAGTTTGATATGGATGAGGAAGGTGAGTGAATGGATGAGACTCTCTACAAACAGATAATCAGGAGCTTCATGTACATTACCACAACAAGAACTGATCTGCAGTTTGTGTTGAGTTTGATGAGCATGTACATGTCGAGACCAACCATTGTGCACCATCAGATGGCTAAACGAGTGTTGAGGTATCTAAATGGAACAATGGATTATGGCATATGGTACAAAAAAGAGGGAAGGGAGAGCTATTGGTTTATGATGATAGTGACTTTGCTGGATATATCGATGGTAGAAAGAACGCATCTGGTTATGTATTTCTCTTGGATGGTGCATCAGTCGCTTGGTCATCAAAGAAACAACCAATCATTATTGTGTCCACCACATAAACAAAGTATGTAGCAGCATCCATGTGCTTGTCAAGTAATCTGGTTTTAGCGAATTCTCGAAGAGTTAAGTTGGGAAGTTCCATGTGCTTGTCAAGTAATCTGGTTTTAGCGAATTCTCAAAGAGTTAAGTTGGGAAGTTCAAGGAAGCACAACAATTCTATGTGATAACACATCAGCTATCAAGCTATTGAAGAATTCAGTGTCTAAGTGTAAACACATTGATGTTCGCTTTCACTTCCTAAGAGACTTGATTAATGGTGGGACAATTCAATTGAAGCATTGTGGATCAGAAGACCAAATAGCTGACATACTCACAAAACTGTTGAAGCGTGAAGCATTCAAAAACCTAAGAAGTAAGCTTGGTGTTTGTTCCATAAAAGCTACGCTAAGCTCATTACATGATACTTAGTTTAAGGAAGGTTTGTTGGAACAAGTGGTGAGTGATGTTACATCATATCATGGAGAAGATCAAGTTACATAACGTAAGTATTACATGGAGGATCGGAATTACATCACGTTGAGAAACTATATCACGAAATTAGTGGAGAAGTTAGATTACATCATGTTGAGAAATTATATCACAAAATTAGTGGAGAAGTATGTTCTATGGTAGTGGAATCTATTTCCTAAATTTATGCAAGTAGTTTATTGTATTTCAAAAGATTATATAAAGCCAGCCATCGTAATTTAATGAAGTAAACAAGTTTCAAAAAATTTGGTACTTCAAAACCGATTTATTGGTCATGTCACATTATTAATTGACCCCAAGGGTCCAAAAGTTTCTTAATGCAATTTTAATAATTGTTAAGGGCCCATTTTAATTTGTTAAAATATCAATAACTTTAGTGAACCTATAATAAAAAGTCCAACCACCTAAACCTAATTAACCTACAAAAGAATAAAACTAAGAAAAATATGTATGTTCCCTATTTTTCTTACCGTTGACGACAACACAAAAAACAGAAGCTGTTCTCGAATCCAGTGAAAGTGAGCAACACAAAGCAGAAACCAAAATATATATTCTATTCACTGATCAGTTAGTGAGATCTCTTTTCAAAGTAGAGGTTTTTTTAATTGATATCTATATTTTTTATTCTCTTAGTTTATTGTTTCAGATTTTATATTATAATTCTTTCTGAATTTTTTGATGCAGTTACATAATTTTTTTGGTATTCTTGACTATTTTGGACTTCGTCTATTTACATATATCAATTTCAGGTCTTAATGTTTTTTTAATTTTAAAAGAGATGGTATTGTGTGGGAATGATAAGAGAAAAAAGAAAAAACTTGATGAACAATTTGTAGAATCTCAGAGAGGAGCTTTAGATAAAGTTGTTACAAAAAAAAAAAACATAAATTCTGAGAGTTCTAGAGAAAAAAAAAACAAATGTGGAATCTCATGAGGATGAATTAAATTATTCTAATTTTGAAAAGCTAGAAGTTGATGAGCCACCAATTCTTCCTTTTGATATCTATATCCTATAAATTGGAATAGTCTTGAAAATAGAACAAGAGATTTGTTGATTGAAAAAGAACCAAAAAGAGATATGAATCTTGAATTTCCTATTGATGATAAAACTATAAGGCATTTTTCATATAGACATTATTTTAGAAAGTTGTGTAATGGAGAAATTGTTGACAGAAAATGGTTAATTTACTCAAAACATGAAGACACAGTTCATTATTTTTGTTGTAAGTTGTTTAAATGACATGGAAACATAAGTTTATTAGCAAATCAAGGACTAAGATTGGAAACATATTGGTTGGAAACATATTGGTGATAGACTAAAAGGTCATGAAAAAAATGAGGAGCATATGGCTAACATGAGAATTTGGAATGAATCCAAAGTTAAACTTCAAAATAATTTGACCATTGATAATTAATTTCAGCATGAGATTACAAAATAAAATGAACGTTGGAGACAAGTTTTATATAGAATCATTGCTGTAGTTAAATGTCTTTCGAAAAGAAATTTAGCATTCCAATGATCAAATGAAAAACTTTACCAAGATGATGGAATTCTTTTAGGAATGATTGAGATGAGTTCTGAATTTGATGTGATTATGTAGGATCATATCAGACGCATTCAAACTCATTAGATACATCACCACTATCTTGGTCATAACATTCAAAATGAGCTAATTTCTCTTCTCGCATATAAGGTAAGACTTTCTATTACAAGTGTTATTAAAGAAGCAAAATATTTTTCTGTTATCCTTGATTATACACCAGATGTGAGTCATCATGAGCAAATGAGTATAATTGTACAATGTGTGAATATGTCAGATAAAAATATTTAAATTGAAGAATATTTTTTAGAGTTTCTTAAGATAGATGATACATCGGGACTAGGCTTGTTTAATGAATACAAAATTCTCTTAAGTCTCTTAATCTTAAAAATGTGAGGGGACAAAGTTATGATAATGGTTCTAATATGAAAGGAAAACACCAAGGAGTTCAAAAACGATTGCTTGAAATTAATTCAAAAGCATTGTTTATGCCATGTGCTTGTCATAGCTTGAATCTTGTTGTTAGTGATATGGCACATTCTTGTGTGCAAGCTGTTTCTTTTTTTGGGATTGTGCAACGCATATACACTTTATTTTCGAGCTCTACAAAAAGATGGAATATTATACTCAAGCATATTTCATGTTTTATGGTAAAACGTTTGTCTAATACTAGATGGGAGAGTCGAATAAAAAGTGTAAAAGCTGTAAGATATCAAGCTCCTCAAATAAGAGCAGCCTTAATTGAACTATGTGATTTGTGTGATGATGCTATTTCAAAAAGTTAAACTGAAAGCTTCGTTGATGCACTTGAGAATTTTGAGTTTTTGCTTGGTATTGTTATTTGGCATGGCATATTTATTTGCCATTAATATGGTAAGTAAGAAATTACAAGAGAAAATCATATGTATTGATAATGCCATGAAACAAATAGAAGGTGTGGTGTCTTTTTTTTGAGAAATATAGAAATGATGGATTTAGTTCTAGTATGACCATGGCAGAAGATCTTGCTCATGAGATGGGTATTGATGCGGTATTTCCCAAAAAGCGTCGATGTTTTAGAAAAAAAAAAAAGCAGTTTGATGAGACTGATCATAATGAAATAATTCAAACATCTGAAAATGATTTTAAAATCAATTATTTCTTTCTTGTTGTGGATATGGCGATTACTTCGTTGAATGATAGATTTGAACAAATAAGAACATTTGAAAATGTTTTTGGTTTTTTTATATTTCAGTGAAGTTAAAGTCACTTGATGCTATTGAATTAAGAGAAAATTGCACTCATTTTTATAAAACATTATCTCATGATGATTTTTCAGATGTTGATTTAGATGATTTTTTCTCTGAGTTAAGAATGTTGCAGGGGAGTTTGTCCGATGAAGCAATGACACCGATTCAAGTTCTTCAGCTGGTAAAAGCCATGGGTTGTTATCCAAATGTTGATATTGCTTACCGACTTTTACTAACCACACCGTGACAGTTGCTTCAATTGAAAGAAGTTTTTCAAAGCTAAAATTGTTGAAAAATTATTTGAGATCATTAGTGTCTCAGGAAAAATTGAACGGTTTAACAATTTTGTGCATTGAAAAAAAAAGTCTTGGAGAGTATGAATTTTAAATTACATATTAATGATTTTGCATCAACTAACGCTAGAAAAAATGTTTTGTGATTGTTTTTTCGTTTTTAAAAAATTGATACTTCTTTTTCTATTTGTTTCAGGTCATAAAAAAGAATGGACATGATACTCGTCGAAATATTGACCACGATCAAAACAATGGAATGAAGACAAGAGTATAAAAAAGTCCATATTTCCTATTTTGCCTAAGGCTATGAAATAGTTTAAGACGAGTCTATCATGTGCCAGTTCAACTAAGTCTTTTCAACTATGAAATAAGTAAGTACCCTTTATTTTTGGACAACACTAGAAAGTACCTAAAAACATATACCTTAAAAGTTATTTAAAGAACAACAAGAAACTACCTAAAATCTTTAAGAAGCAAGAGTATTTATTAATAAACTTAATCCTCCACGTGGCTCATACAGTCATACTCATAACACAAGGCCTTTTTATTTGGTACAACATAAGGCCCTAATAGATTCAAGAAGAAAATAAAAGCCCATTACAATCAAACCCACAGCCACACTGAGGACTCTCTTCAAAATCAGCCGCCGGGAAACTCGCCGACGCAATCCCAACGGAGAAATCAAGATCGCCACCGTCAAGAGATACCTCAACAATATTAACCCAGAACAAAAGCACCTTAACGCTAACTCCTTTCAGGTTCTTGACTTGGCCGGTAGATATAACACCGGAGATAGTTGATTTGTACTTGAGCTGGTATGATTGGATTGGGAATTCACACGTGTCGTTGAAATAGACTTTGAAATCGCCGGTTTTGGAATTAAGCTCGTAGTCAAGGACACCCTTTGGGAGGATTCCGGGTGGTAAATTGTAGCTTCTGACAGCGTCGTAAGCGGTGGGCTTTTGGTCGGAAACTGTGAGGAAAAGAAAGAAGACGAGACAAGAAGTAAGTAATGCGTTTGACGACATCGACATCGCTTGTTAATATTCTTCTTCACTTCGTTGCAATGGTTCGTGTCTAGTTGTGTACTTCTTTTGAAGTAGTTGCGTTTATTACGAAAACAGTTGTTAGGTGTTCGTGTAATAACAGTGTCATTGTCCGATGAAGTAAACATGCAATACATGGACGGCGGAGATTTGATCGACAAGGTTCACGTGTTCCAGATTAATCAAACCAAAACTTATTGAAATGAAGAAGAAAATGTACCAACTACCAACTTCACATTCTATTAAACTAAAAAAGTTTTTTTTAAAATTTCTTGAAAACAAAATCAAACTAAAAAATGCAAAACCATAATGTACCACCGATTAAACCAGAATTGTTTTTTTTTTCTTTCTTGCCTTGTAACTCAGAGACCAACGAATCATCAACACTGAAATATAAAGCAGATCATAATAATGAACAATACAGAGGAGATGAAACAATCTTACTTACGCTTTGTGTGTATTGTGCTCAAAACATTATTAGCTCACAGCTTTCAACCTCTTAATCAAGGTGTCAAACGATTTGTTCTTAGGGTTTTGCCTCGACCCTCTTGCTCCAAAAGTCCCAAAAATACTATCTGATGGATCTCTGAACTTCTCAGAGACCGTTACAACTTTCCTATCATCCAAAGCGTGGTAGCTTCTTTCTCTGATCACAGGGTTAACAAATTTCTCAGGGTGACTACTCAGAAGCAAGTTAATCATCTGTCTTATCTCCACAAAAGCTGTTTTCATCTCTATAGCTTCTTTATCACTCAGCAATGAAGTTAACTGTTCAGTAAAAGAGTCAAGCAACTGAATATCCACGTCAAGTCCTTTGATCGCAGCCATGCTGAGTCTCTTCACTAGATCCCCACACAACGTTCCAACGATTCTCTCAGAGATGTGAGCGAGTACATCGTGCAAAACCCTTTTCAGGACTTTAGCAGGTAATATCTGTTGCGCTGTGGAGACCAAAGTCTCCAAGTAGATTATCACTTCGTTCATGTACTCGTTCCCACTTTGTGGAACATCTTCGCTTATCCAGTTCACATTCTCGATCAATATCATGAACCCATCTATCTTCTTCTTAAGCAAACCCGAGAGTGTCTCTTCCGCAGCGTTTTGGGATTTGGTTAATGGGAAATGTCTCCTCCCTCTCTCCGCCATCCTCAAAGGAACTCCTGAGAGCTGTGCGGCGTGACGGAAGAAGAAATCGCAAGCACGTTCAAACACAGCCATGTTTGCAGCAACCTGCATCGCCTGAGAAACAACATGAACCGATGTGCTAATCAGCTTCAACAGAGCCTCGTCGAGAACTTCACCAAGAAGTCTATCCAGATACTTCTTCACCACATCGTAGAAATCGAGCTGACCTCCGTGAGACATGAAACTAACCGAATCCTCGATAAAAGACCGAACAATCCGACAACAATCCGGAACAGTAGTCGAAAACGGAGCAATGTAAGGGAACGCCGGTACAATATCTGACGTCTGTAACTGAAAAGAGAGCACATTCATGGAATACTCATACTCTCTCTTCATCAACATCTGCTCAAACTTATCAGTAGACAAAGCTTCCGCCATCTGTTTCCGACAATCAGACAACAACAACTCATGATACTTGTCCCTATGCTTACTCAACACTTCAAGAAGCGCGTCAACAGTGTACCCATACCTACGTAAACTCACACCTAACAAGCTAACATAATCCTTAATCAACAACAAATGATTAGCCGTCTGCATCCTAGAGAACTGATCCTCCAACACAGCACACATGTTAGTAACAGCAAGATCCCACAAAAACTCAACCTCCCTCTTCGAAATCAACCCTCCCCCAGTCCTCAAAACCCGATCCTCCACTATGAAAAACCCCGCAATCTGCGCGAAAAAAGTCTGGTGGGACTCCAAGAACGGAGTCATTGAAGAGACCTGTGAGTCAGACTTAAGCTGAAGCTCTCTGTTATCAAAATAATACTGCTTGAACCCATCTTCTAGAGACAATGTCTGATGAATGTGGTAAGCTCTGTAAAGCGGAGTTAAATCAAATCCATCATCACTACCTTCGCCATCAACATCTTCTCCTTCTTCTTCGTTCAACGCGTAGACGCAGTCACGTAAACTAACTCTACTCTGCTCCTCAGCTTCCCTCTGCTTAATCCTAAGCTCCTCCTCACGCTGCCTAGCAGCAGAAGCTTCACCAATAGCTAACTGACCTAAGTTTCTACACACAACACGAATCTCAACTAACCAATCACCAAGCTCCTTGCTCACTCTCCTCTTAACGTACCCCCTAATCTCAGGGATCCTCTTCTCAACCATCCGTCTCAAAGCCGACGAAGGAATCTCCTCCAAGAACTCACTCTCAATCAAATCCACACACTTCAACGCCATGTAGAAACTCCCTCCCTGGAGATGCCGATTCGTCCGCGCGACGATCTCCATCACGCGGAGGCAATGCGTAACCGCTCCAACCGCCAGATCGACGTTCTTGGAAACGGTCCCCGCCTCGACGAGCGAATCGAGGGAAGTTAGAAGCGGAACGGCGACGGATTGGAGCTTGGAGTTTGAATCCGAGAGAGCGGATTTTAGAGACTCGACGTCTGAGAGGAGGGATTTGAGATCGTCGACGGCGTGGATGAAGTCTTGGTAGTGAGCTTTGCAGACTTCTTCGATCTCTGATTCTTTGGATCGAGCGAATAGCTTGAGGTGGTGGAGGAGAGTCTCCGGTTTGCCTGTGCCGAAGGTTTTGCGGACGAACGGAGCTAAGTCCTCGTTGTTGCAGATCGCGGAGGATATCAGGAGCTCGTCGAGTTTTTTATCCGCGGAGTCGGGTCCGGGGGTTGTGGGGCCCGGTTTGCGCTGGGGTTTTGGTGATGGCATTTGTTTTGGGAGTTTTTTAGGTGAAGCGTACAGAGAAGAAGAGGGAGGAGAGTTTTGGATTTGGACAGAGGAATTGATTTTGGTGTGTGTGTGTGTGTGGATTGTTGTTGTTTGACTAAAAGGGTATCGCTGTAGAAGCGGTGCGACTGGAAGAGAATGAGGGTGTTCTCGTCTTTTGAAACGAGAGTGGTTTCTCTGACTTTCGGGTGAATATTTGTCTGGGAGTTGGTGTTCTCTGGGAGTTTTACGCGTAATAGGTGCGTGAAAACACGCGCTTTAGATTTTTTTTTTTTCCGTTGACAATTAAAAAGATTATATTTGTTTCCAAAGTTATAATTCTAATATAAAACTTAATACTTTATATGTTTTATGATTTTATATTCCTTAATATTTGATAATATTGTACCATAAAATAATAATATTATTAAGTATTTAACAAATCATTTTCTAACCAATACATAAAAATTGAAAATAAAATATCTTAAAAGATAAAAAAGGAATAATTATGTATCACAATAAAACACCATATTTAATTTAAAATTAATAAATTTTTATAGTTTTTATTTATTTATGTGTTTAATTATATAGCTTCAAATAATAAAAACTGAAATAACAGATTATATGTCTCTTAACTATGCATGGGCATTCGGGGTCTCCTTCGGGTTTCGGTTTTGTCCAGTTGGGTCTCGGTTCTTCGGGTTTATCAAAATCAGCCACATTCGGATTATTTGAAAGTTCGTTTTGGGATCGGTTCGGGTTCGGGTCGGGTTAGTAAATCTTTAAAGAACCGGTACAACCCGTTATACTTGGATTCGGGTCCCAATCGGTTTTTTGGTTTAAAAATACTTGATTTGTACCTACTTTGTAACCAAAACATAAGTAAAATCGCTTCTTCGGATTTAAAGTACCTAATGTGTAACAATTTTGTAACCAAAACATAAGTAAAATTGATTAGAAAATAAGAAAGAAACATCAAACTTGATCATTCAAAATCAAATGAAAGGTAAACATAGTTTTTAATAGAAAAAAAAAACCAAATAAATGAAATCATAAAACGAAAACCAAATTCTTAAAAAATGAGAAACATTATTCAATAATAACAAAACCTTATTCTAAAAATTTTAAGTTTCAACCGCCACCTTCAACCATCAACCTTCATGTAATCTATAATTATTTTAGATGTTTAGTAATATCTTAAAAATTTTTGGATATATATTAGGAATTAAGATCATGTTCAGTACACGTTCTTATTAAAAAAATTTGAATGTTTCGGGTTCTATCGGATATCCATTTAATTCCGGGTTCGGTTCGGATAATATCCATAATCCGAAATACCATAAAACAAGATCCATTCGGTATTTAAATCGGGTTCGGATCGGTTCAGATTCATTTTTATCGGATCGGATTCGGTTTGGGTTTTCGGGTTCGGTTTATTTGCCCAGCCCTACTCTTAACTATAAAATACAAATGATAATCCTTTATATATTAAAAGAGAATCATTTTAATAAATGCGTTCACATCATAATTGACACGTGTCGGCCTTACAATCATTTGGCAATTAATGCGTTTACACACTAATTTTTTAAATTCATTATTTCATGTATTTATATACTATTTTTAATTAATTTAGGTTTCCTACATTTTTAGCCTTTGTATTAATAAATTAAAATTTTCTAAGTGAAACTAATGAATAATATCTTTATTGTAAAAAAATTACAAGATCATTAAGATTCGCATCAACTAAAATTTCGCGATGAAAATGTTTGTAGAAACTGAAAATATCGTACTTTGCCGAAGTTGGTTATGGTTTAGGCTTCGGTACACAATAACAACAAATACGGTGATTGATTTATGGATTAAAGAAACTCAGGTGAAAAACACCACTTGTAAAGTCGGATTTTATTTTAGTCAAATATTAACATTTTTATAAAGCTTTCATATCAGACCAAGAGTTAGAAACAAATCAAATTGGTCGAAGAAAATCAGAAATCAAAAAAAGCTTTAAAAAAGTAAAAATCACAAAATCGATTGAAACAGAATTTAGGTATCAAATGAAAATGTCAGTTTGTAATATAAATATTATTTTATTATTTACGGGTACAATTAGATTGTCTTCATATGAAAAAAGGTTATTAATTTCTAGGTTTTTTTATTTTTACTTAATTTTATTTAAGAATTTACTATCATGTGTTATTTTGAACAAAAATGTTTTAAATCTTAATTAACGGTATATTCATATATTTATCATCACATTTATATAATTTTACATATACATATATGTACACATTGACATGAGCGACTATATAACTAAATATTCACCGCAAGTGAGAATTTTAATTCTTATTGAAGTTGAATTTTTTAAATGTTTTCTTTCACTATCGCTCAAATTGTAGTGAAATATTTTGTGTTAATAGTTTTATTTAGATTTTATTTGATTTTACATGTCTTTAGAAATTATAATAAGAAACTATTAGTTCGACATAAAAAATGTCTAAAATTTATATAAAACAAAACCAAACAAATAACAATAGTTTTTGGTTATCATCGAAAAAATTAAAAACATCAAACATTTAAACCAAACAAACGAAAATAAATATAGATTTAGAATGATAGTATTATTTTAGACATTAAAAAACAACGTAAAACTGAACCAATATTCATGCTAAACAAATATACTATCATTTTTATCTTAAAAGTAACAAAAATAATAATTTCATTTTACACAAGAAGTAGGTTATCTCTTATACATTAATCTTGAAGCATTTATAAATGCACAATCTTGGAGTGCATGCTTACGTGTCAAGCTCACAGAGCTTCTCAGTTTTAATCTTTTAATGGACCAACTTTGTTTGGAATGAAATCATGTAACATTTAATTTCTTGCATTTAAGACTATAATATATAGACATTTTTAAGGGACCAACTCTGATAGGTATAAAACAATATATTTTATTTTCTTAAATAAAAGCTATGGAATTTCCTAATATGATTAACATATATATGTAATTAATGATTATGAATAATACATATTTTTTATCCTCTCTCGTTTTTTGTTTAATTTTAAATTATTAAAATAAATTAAACAATCACATTTAAATATATAATAAAAAATTAATTTTTTTCTTATAGCTTATATTTTTAATTTTTTAAAACAACCATAAATAACTAAAAATAGTAAAATCCCACATTAAAAAATTATGATCAATGGTTTAACTTTCTTTTGTTTCCAAAGAAGATACAAATTATCATAAATCGTACGAATATGAAGTATCATTAGTAGATATTCATACTATAAATATGTTAATTTAAAAATTTCAGTGAAAAAGTTTGAGGTTAGTAGATACAAATTATAGTATTCGAAAGATTTGTAGTTTGTTTTATTTGTTTCTTTTTTTAATATCTTTTAGTTTGTTTATATAATTAACTAATTTTAAATTAGATTTATTAATACATTAAATATTTTGATTTTTTTGTCAACTTTTAATGTTTAACAAATATAATTTGGGATGATTTCAGATATTGGTTACAATCCAATCCAAAATTAATTGAGAAGATCAAATCGAATCCAATCCGATAATTAGTAAAATTCAAATAGAATTTATGAGAATAATACCAAAATCCGAAAATACATGTCAATCAAACTAAAATCGACGAAGTCTCAAATCTCTAGACCTATGATGATTTAAGATACCAACATTTGTATTCATCATTTTATCATCGATAAATAGTGTAGTATTGCAAAATGTTAAAAACCATTTAATGAATAAATATTAATATACAAATTTCACCCCGCGCATGCGCGCATGTTATCATCTAGTTACCTAGTATTTCTTATTTATGCGTACAAATGTCTGATAATTTATTGTCACCTATGATGCTTGAAGCCCAAATCTTAAATGCTTGAAACCGAGACAAAACGTAAACCTGCTACTATCTTTATTTCGATGCATGTCTAACATGAATCATAAGGAAGCAAAGATTTACATCATCTTTTGGATAGATGAATTAACATGCAATGAACAGAAAAAGGGATTGCTCAAAAATTCAAAAACACTAACGATTTTGAAATCTTACACTATTAAAAGGGACAAATGAAGCCCTCTCACCATTTCCACATCACCAGATATATTTGGCCAATAATATGGCTTCAAACATCCACGTCATTTTAGTTTCCTCTCCTTCTCTTCCTCTTTCGCCTTCTTCTCTCTCTCTTTCTTACGGTTCCACCTCCTAAACTTTTGTGGGTTTTCGTCTTCTCCAAAAGTCCTTCACTTTTTTGAAGAAAGAGATCAGATAGAGGAGAGAAGTGTTTTCAGATATCTACTAGCGTTTCTTCAGTGGTGGGGATTCAACATCACCGTCATCATCATGAACAAATGGATCATCCAGGTTTATATTTGATCTGATTTCTCTCTCTGTCTTGTGTATGTAAAGTTTACAACTTTGATTTTTGAAAACTCTTTTTTTTTTGTAGAAATCAAACCATTGATTGGTCTATAAAGATGGGAAGAAGGTGTTGTCTGGAGATGGGTTATGATAAAGATTAAAAAAATCATACAGAAAGTTAGGGTTTCAAACGGTTTACGCTCATCTGAGAAATAGAAAGTTCCCCTATTCGCTCCCAATCTCGGCGTCTCTCTTCCTCCACCTCCAACCATACAGGTTCTCTTATCTCTCCACTATAAACACCTTTGTTCTTCTGTAAGAAAAATCTGTAGTATAAATGGCTTTATGAGTGTTGTGTCTGATTATACCGTTATATGTCGAAAGTAATTTCCTTTAACTGACTCAATTCACTATAAATTTCTATGGAACTCCAAATTGACTTGGGCATGATCCACCATATCTTTACTAGACTAGAACATGATCTCATTGATGTTTTGTCGTGGCGAGTTTTCTGTGTTTCTCTCTTACAAAAGTCAAAAGTGGTCACTGGATCAGATCTAGCCTTAGAGTAGAAGAATGGTTATGATTCATCAAGCTTCAAGAAAATGGTGAATTCATGGGGATCACACTCTTCTTCCTATATGAAACGGTAACGAGATCTTTCTTCTATCACCGCTGATCTATTGCTTATGTCCTATAATCGATTGTCTCACTCTTGCCTCATACGTTTATTCTATCAAAATCTGCAGGATTCCGTGATCCACACCACTGGTCATACCAATCACTACTGTCCCTCTTTGCTTGCTGTTTAGATTGCGGTTTGAAGTTCACGCTGCAGAAACATGTAAAGATTACTGGTCATCAATTTGTCATTCATTTCATCCCATCAACAACTATTGAAGAAGTCCTTATTAACCTCAATAAACCGTAAGCAATCAACAAACATCAAGTTATTTCCCATACTACTCTTCAATGAACCATAAACAATAACTATGTTTTAATATATTCTGCATCAGAACTGAGATTGTCTATTTATCTATATGAAACGAGGCTGCTTCAACTTTTAGAGGTCTTTTGGAATGATAAATCCCACTCTCTAATGGTGATCACTGCTCAATCAAACATATTTGGAGGTTTGTGCTTGGAAATTTATGATTAGAACATGTCTGATGGTTATGATTATCAGACCATGTAGAAGGTTTGATTTTTTTTTCTCACCTTCATACTGAAGATAGCAAATCTGGAAGTAGGGGTTCTCCTTTAGGGGTTTGAGTGGCTCTATCCTTATGGCATCTGTAAGATCTCCATCTATTCTTATTCGTTAGTTTCCTGCTCGTGTATAGCTCTGCTATGATCTTTTGATACTGTAGCATAGTCAATTCCTTCAAATTATATGATTATATATTGTTTTCTATGCTATGTATTGTATTGTGTCTTCTTGATTCTGTACCTTGAATTTTATCTTCCACAAATCATTTTGTTTCTCTTTGTGCTGTTGAAATTATTATAGTCATAGACTCATTGAGCACTCTAAGGTTAAATATCTATATATGCTTACTTCCTTACTAATTCACCAGAGACAAGAGTTTCAGCGATATCATAGGACTTGGCTCCTTCCTCTTCTTTTTTTTTCATCGGTAACCTCCTCTTGCTTGAGAATAAGATGTGTGCTTTGTCTTTTCATATATTAGATGTGTGACAGAATTCATTTCGTCGGACGTGATTTCTTTTCTTTCTACGAATTTCTTGCAGGGTTTCATAGATAGTCTCATCAGGCCTGCTACTATTGGTATGTTGTCCTTCATTGTAAGGGCGTATATGCACAACAGTTTGTACATGTCTGTATCCATATGTGATCCGTTACCTCTACCGTAGCGTAGATGAGAACATGGTCTTTTAAACAGATAGGAGAGTTCTCAAGAGTATGAACTGATGCACAATTTCGCATTTGCCCACACACTAATAAGTAGCATAGCTTTGTGTCGCAAATGTAGAGTGAATAATAATTTAAAAAATTCTGGGATTTGATGTGCAGGATATGTTTTTACTCATTAACTGAATGACTTTTACTTATGAATCTGATTCTTTGATGGGACTTTATTTGGAGACTTTTTATTTACTGGACCACTGCAAGTGTTCTTAATTTTATAGGCTTTAATACCTCTTTCTCAGATAAGTACATGGAAAGTGGACATGAACAGCCAGCAGCTGATAGACTGATCCTCTCAAGTGTTATTTTGATGTGGAAGTCTCCCCCACCAAAGAATATATAGCTTGGTATGAACTTCTATCCTCCCCACTTAGGCACGTGGTATAATATAAACACAAAACTACTCATGTATCTCTCTGTTTGTTCTAGATTCACTGTTTAATTTATGTTATTGGGATGAATGTGATTGGGGATATCCTTTGCAAGTTTTTTTTTTTTGCAGGTTCAAAGAAATATTTAGCAACTGATAAAGAAGTAGAACGTGGAAATAGATCCTGGAAGCGTGCACTGATTGTAGGTTATAAGTATTGGTGAAAGAAGAAGGCAAGTAGAGCAGGCCTGATTTCTCAAGCTGTTCCAAGGTGGTGACCAATTGAGGACAAACTTGGCCTTGAATATATATAATGAAGCAGCCAAAGGTCACTATGGCATAGACATTGAGATCCTGTAAATAAATGGCACCTCTTATGTACAAACCCACCATGATCTCACAAACATTTTGTATTGGTCTTAAATAGAGAGAAAAAAAAATCCATGATCAACACCAAGATACAAACATCTACTTCATCCGAAGACAAGTCTATATTGCTTTTATTTTCTCGCAAATGTTTAACAACTAAAGAAGCTAATAAAATAGTCTACGCTTTCTTTTTACAAGAATCTACAAATAAGAAATATTATAAATTTCTTGCAGAAGAAAATACCTGAAAGATAAACGAGTTTGAAAGCTGCCTGAAGTCAAATAAAGCAGCTCAAGGAAAGAACAACATCATCCATTTATACACAAGGGTGCATTGAGCTTTAACCTGTTGGGGGCAATGAACCATCAAGGTGACTTCCTGGATGTAGGTGAAGAACGGTTAAGCTCGGACTCATCATCAATGGGAGTCATGTCTTTAACATCAAGTCTGGAAGGACTTTCCCCACCTCCCACAAGGACTCGCAGAGTTCTTGCCATTACCCTCTCTTTTGGGCTCTATCCATTGTCTGACCATTGACACCGCAGTTAAAAACAGCGAACAGACCAAGGATGCCCTCTACTACCATTATCTCGATAACCACTAAATGCTATCAGAAATTACGATTTTTGCAGAAAATCCTCAATATATTTACCATCAACAATATATACAACCTAATTAAAAACAATGCAGGGAAACTAAAACCCTCGTCAACACCATTAAAATAATTTGTTTTAACAACTCTTCGAAAGGCAAAATTTATGGGGGAAGAGAATATACAAAATGTTATATGACCATTTTAGTGTGTTTATCACTTTACTTCTTATTTAATTTTATCTAAGTTTTTTTTGGAGAAATGACCTTATTTAGGTTTTCATAGTAACAAAAACTCCAAATAAAAAGAATTACTTTTTTAGGGATATACATACTTTTATTACCATAGAACGATATATTAGACATATTAGTAAAAATGATAGGATTAAAAAATTTAGAATATATAATCCGCGCGAAGCGCGGAAAATAGCTCTAGTTTGTATAAAAGAGAAAGACCGAAAGAGAGCAGACAAAGGTAACAAAGACAGATTTAGATTAACTGAAAACTTTATTGTCCGATTAAACGGAAGACTTGATCCGACCAAGTCGGAGTTGATTATTCAGATAAAAATGGAATTAGAAAACAAAAAAAAAGGAAAAAAAAAGAAAAAAAAAAAGAACTTCTCTCTCTCTAAGATTTTGAGGAGAGAAGAGGTACAAATGTCATGTCTTATAAATTGTGAATTATAAATCAAGTAAAAGTACACACATTATTTTCTTGTTTTCATTTCAAATCTCATTGCAAATAGTAGCTCACAACAAGAAAGTACCCTTGAGGAAGCTCAGAAGAACTTGATTTCGCCGGTTTAGAAATTCTTGAAGAAACCATAGATATGTTCGGTGACTTCGTCAGGCTTCTCTTGCTGAAGGAAGTGACCAACACCTTCCATTACCACCACTTCTTGTAGGAATGGAACATGTTTCTTCAAACCACCTTCATGTAGATATTCCTTTGTTCCAGGGATGTTGTATACAAGGTCTAGATCACCCACAATGAATTTCACAGGGACCTTGATCTGTAGACCGTCCCATGGAGCCGTTAGTTCCCAGCTTCTACAGTTAGAAGAAGGAGAAGACCAGATCAACCATCAGGATATATCATAATGGTGTGTTACAATGGAGGCTAGATATTTAAAAAACATTTACAGGTTTAAGGCGCGATAGTAGTTTAGTCCACCAGTGAAGCCCTTTTGGCTAAACTTGTCTGCATAGAAACTGACGTCTTGCTCGGTGAACCAAGCAGGTAAAGCAGGTAGATCAGGTAAGCCTTTGAAACCAACTGACTTTGGAATGCAAGGTGGCCGTGGATCATGAGAAGTGAAAAAACTGCTTATTAACTTCTTCGTATCAACTTGAGCAAAGTCTTCCTCAATCTCTCCAGGCTCCTGAGTTTAAGAAAAGAAACACTCTGTTTCATATTAGTACAGAGACCCAATTAAGCAAATGGAATCAACACTAATCAAGATTGCACAACCACATATACAAATACAAATAAAGTAATGACCTTGACTTTCTATTTGACTACTATTGCCATTTTTCTAATCATCAAAATTGCAACTTGCAGATCATATGTTCAAGTGCTCAACTACTTTGAGCTTTCTATGAGTAGGTAGGTTACAGGTCCCTGCTTACATAGATCCAAACAATATTCCTAACTGCCATGGCAAAAGAAGTACTAATCTCACACAACTAAACACCAAACAAGCAATTAGCTAAACCAACACTCTGAATCATTATCTCATCAGAAATGTTTGATGCCTCTTGAGGCTTCTTTGGCGACCGTTAAGAAAGTAAACCCAACAAGACTAATCGAACTTGCCTTTACTCATAACTGAACTAGAAAAGTTTTGGATCACGGATTAATATGGTTCTTTCGGGTTCAACTGAGTTTAATCACATTATAAAATAGAACTAAACCTAAATGTTTTGTTAGTTGTTTTTGGCGAACGGTATTAACGTTTTCAATAGAAATAATTAAGAAAATTTAAGTACAAACAAAACTGAAAATCAAATATAAAATAAATATTTTTACTTTAAATATAAAATTAATCTTTAAACTTTAAATATTTATCACCATGAGTTATTAAATATTTTACAATGAATATAACGAAAAATAAGAAAGTTTTTATTTATATGATTTAAAAGATAAAATAATTAATTAAAGTAGTTTTGATAACAAATTATATACCCCGGTTTTTATCCACCCGACCAGGTGTTTATTCACCGATCCGAATATGCTTCCAGTTCACTGTTTAACCCATACCCATTTCAATCATAATAATTTGCAACTTGCATATCATATGCTCAACTACTTTGGCTTTGTATAGGTAGGTGATAGGTCCCAGTTTACATATATCCAAACAACAATCCTCATTGCAATGGCAAAAGAAGTAATAACTACTAAATCTAAACACCAAACAAGCAATTATATTTGCCCCTGCAACATTCTAAAGTAACAGCTTTCAATTTCAACACATTCAGCAGTACCTACCACTCGTTAACCTAACCTTATCTTCGCATCACTAAACAAAAGACCTGCGATACAAGTCAAAAACCCTAAAATTCCAGTTTCATAGATACACTGAGTTCCGATCAAAGTCTCACCTGAAACCTGCAGACGTAGTAATCCTCGCCGAACAAAGCCTTAAACGCATCAACAGGTTTCACAGAAGGATGCCTGGGATGAAACTCAACGCTCGTGTTGACCAGCGCCTTGACTCGATCAGGTCTAATCATACACATCCACCACGCGATGATCGCTCCCCAGTCATGGCCGACGAGGAAAACCTGGTCAACGCCGAGTGAGTCCAGCAAGCCGACGAGGTCTCCGACGATATGGAGTACGGTGTAAGACTCATGAGACGGCGGAGAGTCGGAATCGCCGAATCCACGGAGATCGGGAGCGATTGCGCGGTAACCTAATTCGGCTAAAGAGAGAAGCTGGTGGCGCCATGAGTACCAGAGATCAGGGAAGCCATGGAGGAAGAGGATGACTGGACCTGAGCCGATTGAAGCTACGTGCATGTTGATGCCATTGGTGGAAACCGTCGTGTGCTCTATCTTCTCCATTTGTTTCTTCTTTCTCTCTTCTTCCTGATAGACTGATAGTTCTCTCACTCACTTGCTTCACAACGTTCATATTGCCCATTATATATTAGATTGTTTTCTTTGTGACAAAAAAATATATATTGTTTTATTTACAAATAATTGTGACCTGTGAAACCGAAATAAACAATTGTAAGTTGCAACCAATGGGACCTATAGTCCAGCTAGGTACATCATCAGCTAGGGATTAAATTATTTTTCGGAGTCCACGACCCGATCCAATTTAAAATCCTGATAATCATATATGCAGATCTGGTTAGATCCAACTTAGCACCATGGTTTGATACAGATTCACTATGGAGAGTTTCAGCGAACCAGGTTCATCAATTTTATTGTATTTTTTTCTTGGTTTATGTGTGAACCTGCCCCATCATCCTTTGATGGGGTGCTCTTAGAGTTGAAATTTAGGATTCCAAGATTGATCCAAACCAAATTTTTTATTTGTAATTTTAATATATACATGTTTTACATATTCATATTTAAATACTCATGGATATTTTAATAGAGAAAACTGACATTTAAATATTAAACCACTTTTGTAAAAGAAAAACTCACGTTTCATTAATCTAAACAAATACTCCTTTCATATACAAATAATTGATGTTTTAAATTTTTTTATTTGAATTAAATATTGGTATCCTACTTTTAGTTAGTGCATTTTATTTGAAAATTAAAACATAAATTAAAATCTGAAAATATGAATAATAGAATTTTGTCATGAAACAAATGCAACTAACAAAAATAATCATTTAAAATATATATTTATTTACAAGATGTGTGTAAATAATAAAATATCAATCTTTTTAATTTAGAGGAGCAAATTGTGTTACCAAAGCCATTTTTAGTCAACACAAATTGTTGTTTATGTGATGTTTAATTAAACTTATAATCTGGCTATAACATCTAAGGGACAATTGGATTAACAGCTGTAATCTGGTTATAAACAATTGTGACCAATACAACCTATAATTAAGGGCTAAATTATGTTTTTAACAAGATCTGGATACCAATCCAATTTATATTTTTAATTGAAACGTGTATATATATATTTAAATATTCAAATATTTTAAGATTATGAATATTTTAATGGAGAAAATTAGTATTTCAATATTAAACTCACTTATTTATCAAAAAACGCAGACATTTCATTAATAAAAACAAATGCTAAAGTCAAATTGCCCTCGCCATATTAGATTCCATTTTAGTCAACATCAATTGCTAGCTCCAATTGGTGACCATATTTTTGGGAAAGAAAAGATGAGGAGTTTGATCAAAAAAAAAAAAAAAAGAAAGATGAGGAGTTCTTTAGGGCTGGTCATTTCATCCATTAAATTTGATTCGATTCGTTATTCATTTTGATTTGATCTGAAAATTCCGGATATCCGTAAACTTTCGAATCAAAATAAATACTAAAAATCAATATCCGTTAAAATCGAAGCAAATCACAAATATTAAAATTTTGGGAAGCGGATATCCGATCCGATCCAGAAATATATAAATATATGTATATCTTGATTATATTTAAAATTTTAAATGTATAAAATTATATAATTATTATTCTAACACATGACTTTGAACAATTCTATTCACATTATTACTTATATAAAAGTATTACATAAAAAGAGAAAAATTTTATGACAATTATATTTTTTTCTTAACTTTTGTGTTATTATAATTGTAACTTAAACTTAAAAATTTACAAAATATGTAAATTCACTAGTTTTTTTAATTTTTAGTTTATATATCATGCAAAAAAATATTTTTGCAAAGCAAATTTGTATCAAAATTTAAGATTATTTATATTAATCAAAATGGATGAGATATCCGTAAATATCCTCAAATATCTATTTATTTTTCGGATATCCATTTTTTCAGATATCCGTATTTTTTCGACGCAAAGCAAATACCAAAATTAAATATCCGTAACATTCGAAACAAATCACAAATACCTTGAAAGATTTGGATATCCGATCCGTGCCAACCCCTAGAATTCTTTGCTCCTCTAAGTTTATACCAATTATGTTGAATCTTTTGTTAATTTTTACATGTAGGTCCCATTAAATTTCTAACTTTTACTCATGTTTAGATGAATTAATGAAGAAAATTATTCCTTCCAAATTTTGATGAGGAACAAATGGAATTTTTTAAAATATTTATTCATTGTCAGTTCTCTTTTTATATTTATTCATTTCTTCATATGAAAATTTGGTCATTTATTTTTTCATTTCTTTGATTCATCGAAGTGTCACCAATCAGAGTCGATGTCTATTGTTCACGGCATATTAAACGACTTTGTTTCAAAATTAGAATGTTAAACAAAAATGTTAAACTTTTTTAGGTCTTATTAATTATACTATTATAAACGATGATAAATATTACATAAATGCTGAAGATCTTTTATATTTTTTTGTTTATAATCTGTATAATTTTATTTTCTATATTTGAACCGAAGTATTAATGAATTTTTAGTCACCATTAGAATAACGGGTTTCCACAACAAAACTCTTTAAAATTTTGATCTTTAATCAAATTTATCACCTCTTTTTATCTTTCTACTTCTGCGTTTCAAAACTTGAAATATATTTTATTCAGATCAATTTTATTAACTTTCTCGTTTCGTAAACTATAAACCATTGGCAACACTAAAAAATAACAGAAATATAAATAAATCACAAAAGTAAAAATATTTCTTAATAAAAGAATATTCTCTAACTTTTTGGTGCAATTAGATAAATTTATAAAACGAAGGAATATACATTATCTGAAAAAAAATCATTGTTTAAACATTTTTTATTTATCATTAATTTGTTTCTAAAATTAATGAATAAACAATTTATCATAAGAAGAAATGATAGAAATTAAATATTACAAAAATATTATTAGAATTTTTTTTATTTTAATATATTTAATAGCAATAATAAAATTCTTATGATGTTAAGAAGCTAAATCATAGTGTGGTTATTTAAAATATTATTATGTAATTAAAATAAAAATATAATATTACAAATGATCTACTTAGGAGTTTTGTATTTTTATGTAAGCGAAACAAATATTGTGTGTCAGCAAACCTTTTGACTGAGAAAATATATAATCTCTTACAATCACGTAATATACAAAAGATAATAGATTTTCTTACTTATTCACAAGGATATGTATAAATGTCTTACCAGATTTCTGTTGTACGAGAAAATTTCATATAAATTTCGAATTATCAAACAAGTAAAATACACATTGTCCTTTCATTTCAAATCCATTACAAGTAGAGGCTTACACCAAGTAAGCAAGTGCCCCTGAGAACTTGATTTGGCAGGTTCAGAATTTCTTGAAGAAGCCATAGATATGGTCAGTGACTTCCTCGGGCTTCTCTTGCTGAAGGAAGTGACCAACACCTTCCATTACCACCACTTCTTGTAGGAATGGAACATGTTTCTTCAAACCACCTTCATGTATGTACTCCTTTGTTCCAGGGATGTTGTATGTAATGTCTAGATCACCCACAATGAATTTCACAGGGACTTTGATCTGTAGACCGGCCCATGGAGCCGTTAGTTCCCAGCTTCTACAGGTTAGAGAAGGATAAGACCAGATCAACCATGAGATATCATAATGATGTGTTGAAGATGAAGCTAAAATCATAAAAGACTTTACAGGTTCATGGCGCGATAGTAGTTTAATCCACCAGTGAAGCCTTTTTGGCTAAACTTTTCTGCATAGAAACTGACGTCTTGCTCTGTGAGCCAAGCAGGCAACGCAGGTGGATCAGGTAAACCTCTGAAACCAAGTGACTTTGGAATGCAAGGTGGGCGTGGATTACGCGAAGTGAAGAATCTGTTTATTAACTTCTTCGTATCAACTTGAGCAAAATCTTCCTCAATCTCTCCAGGCTCCTGAGATAAAGAAAAGAAACACTCTGATTCATTATTACAAATTTACAGAGACCCAATTAAGCAAACGGAAACAACAATGCTAATCAAACTTGCATTTATCATAGCACAACCACATACCCAACTAAAGTAAATGAATTTGACTTGTCTATTTGACCACTCTTGCCATATGCCCAACTCAACTACTTTGAGCTTTGTATAGGTCCCAGTTTATCCAAACAGCATTCCTCATTTCCATGTCCAAACAAGTAGTCACTACTTTTTTTTTTTATCAAAGGAGAAGTAATCACACTACTAAACGGAACCTGGAAAAATCACTACTAACTTCACACAACTAAATACCCAATGAGCAACTAACTATAAGTAATTTTTCCTTTGATGATAAACCAATGTGGCAACGAAAAAGGTCCACGAAGTAACAGTTTCCAATCTTCAACACATTCACTCGTTAGCCTAATCTTATAAGCAACCATGTACCCCAAAAACAAATTTAATGACTTTAAATTTGACTACAATTGAGCAGACAAAAAAAAAAAGGTTGACTACAATTGCCATTTTCAAATCATAAATATCACAACTTGCATATCATAAGCCCAACTACTTTGAGCTTTGTATAGGTAGGTGGATAAGGTCACCAGGTCCAAATTTACATATATCCATCCAAACTACATTCCTCATTGCCGCGTCAAAGACGTAACCGCAACAAAACACCAAACAAGTAATCTGCTTTTGATGATTAACCAATGAACTAACAATTCATACCACTCTTTAACCTAATCTTATCTCCAACATTTAATAAACTAAACTGATTCCAAACTCAACTCTCACCTGAAACCTGCAGATATAATAATCCTCACCAAACAAAGCCTTAAACGCATCAACAGGCTTCACAGAAGGATTCCTCGGATTAAACACAACGCTCGTATTCACCAACGCCTTGACTCGATCAGGCCTAATCATACACATCCACCACGCCACGATCGCTCCCCAGTCGTGACCCACGAGGAACACCCGGTCAACGCCGAGCGAGTCCAACAACCCGACGAGGTCTCCGACGACGTGGAGGACGGTGTATGAGCTAGCGGAAGGCGGGGAGTCGGAATCGCCGTAGCCACGGAGATCGGGAGCGATCGCGCGGTAACCTAAGTCGGCGAAGGAGAGAAGCTGGTGGCGCCAGGAGTACCAGAGATCGGGGAAGCCGTGGAGGAAGAGGATCGCTGGACCTGAGCCGATTGAAGCTACGTGGAGGTTGATTCCGTTGGTGGAGACCGTCGTGTGCTCTATCTTCTCCATTTGTTTCGTTTCTCACAGTTTCTATCACTCTCAGGTGCTTAGGAATAAGACATTGAAATTTGCATTTTATTAATTGGAGTTATTTATTTATTTTAGTATTATGGCTGACAATGATAATAAACAAAATAGTGTTAGGTACAAATACTTATACCCGTTTTGTATTTGGTACTTGTTCGATATTTAGCTCGTAAATCAAGTATTTGCAATCATCGAGGCAAGTAAGAAATATCTTAGATAAAGAAATTTGTAAGTATAAATCTTATATAATAAAGTTGATTTTTTTTCACTCGTTGAGGAAAAAGTTGTCATGTGTCACCTTCTTTTAATGGTATTTTTATATTTATTATATTTAACAAATTTTAGTTTACTTAATGAACCAATAAATGCAAATAAAAATTTAATCATTAATTAAAGAGTGATTTAAGTGAACTATCCATATTTGAAGCTCAAATTAGCAAAATACCATTGATTGGACATGAAGGACACTGACACAACCATTTGGTAAGGAAATGTCGAGAATGCCCTTTCTCTTTCCTCTCATTAACACGAAGCGTAAAAACATTTGTTAACATATAACACTTCTGTTAACGTCTACAATATTTGTTAACAGCCAACACATTTATTACCGCGAAGCGTAAAAATAATTGTTAACAGTTAACACTTCTGTTATCGTCTACAATATTTGTTAACAGCGAACACATTTATTAACGCGAAGCGTAAAAATAATTGTTAACAACTAACACTTCTGTTAACGTCTACAATATTTGTTAACCGCTAACACGACGTCGAATCTAAAACCCAGAAAATTGATATCATCAAAAAATTGAAGATTCAAAGCCACTTATGAAAAAAAAATGAAATTTAAAATTTAATTGTATATAGAATGATAGAGATTTTTAAAATAATTAGGGATTAGAGAGAAAAAAAAAGGTCAAAAAATTGAGGATTCAAAGCCACTTATGAAAAAATAATGAAATTTAAAATTTAATTGTATATAGAATGATAGATATTTGTAAAATAATTAGGGACTCAAGAGAGAAAAAAAGGGGAGAAATGTCAAAGAGAGGAGAAAGAGTGTAGAGAATGGCAAAATGGTCCAAATGAAAGTGATTATCACATCATGGGCAAGTCTCTAGTTATAGATGCCAAATAGAGCACTTTAGCCAATTATCTCTTAGTTAAAACAAATTTTTATTTCATTATTATTTTTTAAAATTTAATCATTAATCTATTTAACGAAAATTTATAAATAATTTTAGTATATATTTTTATTTATGAACAAATGATATATATATAAGTTAATGTGATTTTTTACAATGTACTTATATTTAGTTTATTTTTTATTAATGTTATATATGCATTTATATTGTAATGGTGATATATGATTTATTTTAGTTTACTAAATGAACCAATAAATGCAAATAAAAATTTAAACATTCATTAAAACAAATTTTCTATTTCATTATTATTTTTTAGTTTTTTATTTTAATGAAAATTTACAAATAATTTTAATATATATTTTTATTTATGAACAAATGATATATATAAGTTAATGTGATTTTTTTTACAATGTACTTAGATTTAGTTTATTTTTTATTAATTTTATATATGCATTTATATTGTAATGGTGATATATAATTTATTGGTTATAAAATATTTCAAAAAAATTTCTAAAATAAATATTTATACATCTCTTATATAATAAAGTAGAGTTTTTTCTCTCCATAGAGGCAAAAGATGATATTTATTGTTCTATCATTTGCTGAAAGTTTTTAGGTCCAATTATAAAAATCTTTTATTTGATTTGAATTTTTATTGATTTTTACAAATGACATTATTAATAAATATTTTTAGTCCAGTAAATTAAAAAAAAACTTTCTCACTTTCAACCTATTCTTCAAGATAGATGACAACTTTCATATCTCTAAATATGAAATATCTAAATAAATATTCTTGATTCTTAAATCTATTTGCTCGATTTTAAAATCAATATCTTGATTCTTATAATCTATTTTCATTTTGAAATCAATATCCTTGATTTTCAAAAGATTTCCGTAAAATGAGAGTTTAAAAGAAAAGAAAAAGCCCCAACAAGAGTCAAACCAAAACGAGGAATAACTGAATTACACAACAATTTTGAAACCGAAAGTAAAAAAAAAACGAAAAGCCAATTAAAATAATTTTGAAATCAATATCCTTGATTCTTAAATCTATTTGCTCGATTTTAAAATCATATGATTTATTAAGATTTGGATATCCTTGATTTCCGTAAGAAGCTATTTTCATTTTGAAATCAATATTTTTGATTCTTAAATCTATTTTCTTGATTTTAAATCATATGATTTATCAAAGATTTCTAAATCCAATTGTTTTTCTAAATCCATTAAAATAGTTGAATCAATAACCCCCACTAAATGTTATCACATGTTTACTATAATTATTCAAGAATCAAAATTGTATTAATTATCAAAATGTCATGCAAACATCTGTAATGCATGTAAGCTTACAAAAAGTTCAGTATATAATTTTGTTTAAAACTATCAAGTATTAAAGACTCAGTGTAGTAGCATTATTGTAGTTATGAATGATTATATTACAAAATTTAGTATACACTACTTTAATATACCATTGTTGACAAAAATAAATATACAATTATTTTTTAAAAAAAGTTTTAAAATTTTAAACAAGACTAATAAATATAAAGTTTATAAATTTGAATTATCAGGTATGATATTTTATAGTTTTTTGTACAGTAAATTGGAGAAAAATGTTACCTGCTTCAACATCAAAAACAAAATTTTATTAAAAAATACTATAATAGACATGATCAGAAGTTTGAAGAATAAAACAATTACCTATACAAAGACATTATTATATACATCAGTTTGTCAAAAAGCAGTTCATCAAACAATAACCAAACAATCTCATCTAGACATTACAGTTTTTGATCAAATATCATATAAATTTATTTAAAATCTTAACATAATTAAAACATAAACATATAACATCTACTGTCAATATTAGTTCATTTACAGTTAAATAATTTAAACTTGATTTTATGATTTATATTTTTTAAAATCGATATATAGGTATTATATATATTCAAATTTCATATAATAAATTAAATTAAACTAGAATTTATATAAGAAAACCCGGGCATAGCCCGGGAAAACCACTAGTTAAGTATTAAATCCTAATATTTTTCAATTACTTGACTTAGTATTACTTTACTCATTTTTATAGTATTAAACTAAAATTTGTTAATGGTTTGCTAATGATTATTTGAGAAAATTATTATTTATATAAAATTAGAAACATGTTTTCTTAAATATCAAAATGATTGTGTTGATTATAGTATTAAAGAACATATAGAGTTTCCTATGAATATATTTACATTTTTCTAAATTTGAAGATGTTGATTTATTTGGTGTTTAAGATTTGAACATAAACAAACAAGTAACAGGTCTAACTAAGTAACTTATAAGTATCTCAATATTAAGTAAGTATTTTGGTTAACAAGTACTCGATTAATCAAGTATAAATATAAGTTAATATTTGTAATACTTGTATGGGAGATAAGGTAAGTACCGGGTATGACAAAATTACCCAATACACGACTTGTGTTCAGGTTTATAAACAAGAAAAAATTTATAGGATAGAACAAAAAAAAAATTTGCTGCAAATATAAACTTTAAAAATAAAAATGACCAAAAAAAATTTAAATTTTTTATTAAAAGAAATAAATATATACTTATAGGGTTAATTAATTTAGATTAGGGTTTAAAGTTAAGAGATAAGGTTTAGGATTTAAGAATTATGATTTAGAATTTAGAGTTAAGGATTGAAGTTTTGAGGATAGAATTTTAAATTTAAAGAAAATTAAAATTTTCAGAAAAAAATGTTGAAAAAATGTTGTTTTCATCATTTTTTAAAGATTTATGTTTATTTTTATGACAAAAATTTAAAAAGTTATATTTAAGAGAATTGTCTAATAAACAACTGTGATCAATGAGACCTATTGTTTTATCTGTTAGTCCACTAGTAGGCCCATTACAATAATTTTTATTTCTTCTGTAGATGTATGATCGATCGAACAAATGGTTGCCAACGTACATCCACCAAAATCTGCATCTGCTGAAACAGTATAACTAATTTTTTCTAAAGAGATTTATAACCATTAGTTTTGCTATTAACAGAAGACGATTGTAATGCATGTACATAACCCAAACACCATCACCAACACAATCTCATGTAGCATTGATTATACCAAAGACAGGACAAGACACTGTTAAATCAGACTATTGGATAGCTTCACATTTCGTAGAGGGAACTATATAGCAACCAAAAAGAAATATGGATGTAAAGCAAAAAATCTTAAAAGTAACATTTCATTTCGAAACCAATTGGTTTTGGTCATATGATAAATGGTTCATAGTTGTGATTAATGTCATGGATTCGATTCTTTTTGGCCATCCAAAGCGTCTTAAATAATAAGAAAACACAGATTCTGTGTGTGTCGTGGTGATTAGTACTTAGACCTAGAAAGCTTTTGAAATGACATCATGGTTATAAAAAAAAAGACATTTTATTTGGAGAACAATTTCATCAAATTTAAAGCATCTCAACCTTTTCTTATCCCCCTCATTTGTAAATAGTTTTATATTTCAATGAAATTTTATCTATTCAAATTTTAAGGAGGTGAACAATGGGAAAGCAACCAAAGATGCTTGGGTTTCTTAAATCATACTCTTTCTGTTTTTCAAAAGTATCACTCTTCTATTTTTACATAAGTTAAGAAAATTGTATACTAGACTGATATATTTATTAAATGATTAATTAAATAAAATAACTAAAAAAAAATCTGTTAGTTATTCAAAAAGATAAAAGATAGATTTAATATAGAAAATTGCATTGAAGTTGTTATATTTTTATTCAAAAGTGACACTTTCTATCAAACAGGAGGAGTATGTTAAAATATAATTAAACTTTGATATATTTTATGATATCTATACTATTATTTGCGAAGTGATTTTTTGCAACGGAGCTCTCACGTTAAAAGTTAGAACGGTTAATATCGATATTACCCTTAATGAATAAAATATATAAATCAGCCAATAATAAAAACGAATTTAATATTTATTTGATTAGATAAATAATTTAAATTAATAATAATGATAAGAATTATCCATAACTAAAATATATATTTAAAAATAAAAAAATAATTCGTATATATATTTTGTTGTTATCCGGAAAATATATTTAATAAAAAAATTTCAAAAACAT